GCTGACTTTCTTCCTTTGGGGCACATGAGGGAACTGACAGCTGAAAGTGCACAGAGAAACTTAATGTCTAATTGTATCCCTAGGAATGGGAGAAAGGGCTTTCCTTTGCTTTTCTGTCACCCTTCATGTGAAGTACAGCAAAACAAGACACCTGGGCGTTGTCCTTAGGATACTTCAATTAAAACCAAATACTCATCATGTCTTTTCAAAGCACCAGAACACATAAAGGCTGTCCCCTGCTCTCTGTATCTTCATATTAGACTTGAGGCAGGTTAAGATGCCTGTCCTTGACTTTACTGTTAGCAGCTTAACTTAAGTGTGTCTAGATCCTTTATTTGAAGCTCTAAAGTAAAACTAAGTGACTCATAACTCTTATCCACAGGTACAGCTGACCTCTGTAGTAACAGGGTAAAGCTTGCCTGACCAGCAGATGCTTTTCAGGGGCTTGATCGAAACTTGATCTCTCCAGAAACAAAACCTTTCCCTGTCCCTCAGATGACTCCAGATATGCTTTCTCAAGAAATGTAGGGTACTCTGGACCAAAATAAACCCACCCCTCTGTCACCCCACCAAAACAGAGTGGTAGTAACTATATTCTTCCCTCACCATGCAACGATCAGAGTACCAACTCTCTTGTTACAAATATTCTGAATTATTTAATGTGCTGAGTACTTGGGTACAGCAATAGCGATACAAGGAATCCTATAAAATAGAGTTAGTGTTTAAAATACTGTATATGTAAGTCTGGGGTTAACTTTTAGGTGCAAAGAATGTTTATGGAAAAACTGGTCTTCTTCCATTCTTTGTAAACATTGTCCTTCTTCACCACCTTCTCGTGTTACTATTCTTTATGTTTTTCCCCTTCCTGTTCCTGTTTTTTATCTTTTTTTTTTCTGGATTTCTTGTGGTCAGACACTGAAGAGAAGTACAGTAGGAGAAAAGCACTTTCCCAGTTTCTTCAGACAGCAGCCCTCTGGTCTGTAGTTTAACTATCTCTGTGATGGGGCCATTCTGGCTGATTCTGAGAGTCTGTTAGCTCTATCTCTGATGCCCAGGGCCATGATTTAGCTGATTTCTCTCCCCTCCTTTCTTCCCCCACCTCTGTATGCTTCCCAAGATGTCTATCACCCTGTTCAAGGGCTGCCTATACAAGACAGGTTCTGTTGCTCCCCTTCTTAAATTTCACAGAGTAAATTTGTCAAACCTGCAGAGCAGTCTGCTTTCACATATTCAGGTGCTGTTCTGAAAGCTACTGACTGTGGAGGAAATTAGGTATCTTCCCCACCCCTTTTCAAAGCCCATTTGCAAAGTGTCCAGAAAAGAACCCACTTAGTTAATGGCACAATATATGTGTTTGTGTAATGCAGCTTCCCCTAGCAGATTACTGGATGGTGGCTTGCAGGAGATCAGCAGCAGGGGTTAAAGTTAAGAACAAATCTGGTAGGGGGCAGGGTTGGAAGAGAAGAGATCCTTCTTTTTCCCCCTGTGTTAACAGCATGGCAGAATTGCTTGAGTACCAGTTCAGAGACCATGACTGCCTTCGGATATGACACTTAAAACAGTGTGATCCACAACAGCAGAGTTGTGTCTGGCTCTACATTGTTTGTTTGTTTCTCCTGCAATAAGCAGCAATTGCCAGCTAACTGGCAAGACATGGTTTGCTCCCAACCTGAACCAGCACCTATACCCAGCTCTCCTGCCCTATTGTGTATCCAGGCAGAGGCCCTGCTGGACAGTGTCAGTGTTTCTGTTTACCTTAACACCCAGAGCAGAATTTGCCACTTAAAATGCACCAATGTGAAAATTCAAGAAGATACGAGTGCAGCAAATAGCTGTGGATAAATATTCCTTTTCCCCTGCCTGATTCCCCCTACCTTTTACCTTAGCCTGTACCAGTCTGACAGCAAGGAGATCTGTATCTGCTCATCAGGTTTAACTGGTAATGCCACTCTATGTTCCTCACTTTAGAAAAAAAAAAATCCTTTGCAATATTTCCGCTTTAGTGATACCAGACTCATTCTCAAAGATACAGAGATACTGTAGGTCTGAGTTAGAGCCTGCAGTGATTTACCAGGCTTTGTTCTTGGAGGTAAAGTAGAGATAAACTATCTCTAGAGTCCATCTCGTTGCATATCTTGGTTTGTTCCCATTCTAGCCAGGGCGTATGAACCCTACAGTGCCCTTGAGGCATGGGTCACAGTGCTGTGGAAAGTGCCCCTGGAAAGTACGGTGCATTGAACACTGTAGTAGTAGTCGTCTGTGGGGTAGAGTAGGATTGTTCTTAACTCTGGATCTGGAACTTGCCACTATTTTGCCTGAAATCCAGTGGACTAAAGGGAGATATCCTGACAGCTTTCATGACTTACGATTTTGTTTATATAAGTTTGTATATGTTTAGCTTTTTCTCTACCACTGCCTTTTCTTGATCCAAAGTCTGCATCCAAATGTCCTTCCATGTCTTTTTCTAAGTATTGAGAGATAGATATATATAGATATATATGTTTGTTTTCCCCAACACACACATTCATGGCATTAAAATAAAGCAATGTAACAGAAGTATCTATGAGGTCTCTTTGATCCTGTTTTAAGCTTGACTTCCCGTAAAAGGAGTTTAACAAGAAAAAATCCTACTCTGTAGCACCCTGAAACACATGCTAGGCTTCTCCCTCCTCTATTATGAACTATTGTTGCCAAGTGGTGATGCACAGCACTGTGCTCATGTGCAGGGCCCAGGGTCCCTTGGGCATCAGGACAGAGCTGTAACTCTGCAGTGGGACTGAGAAAACACAGTGCAGTGTTTCCAAGCCCCCATGATGTTTGTTAGGCAGTTTGAGTTTTTGATAAAGCTGTTCCTTACCCATGCGAGATTTAAACAGTGCAGCTGGCACAATCAGTTTCCCATTATACAAAAAGCTCTGGTTGATCTGGGTTTAAAACCCTTGTGAAAACCCTCCAGTGATTCCTTTCATTATTAAATTGCTTTAAATATACTTAGGGGAGAGCACAGAGCAAACCCGTGTTGATCAGAATGCTCTTGTATGCCTTGTATGTCTGTGTAATCCAGGAAGAAAAACCTGGACATTCAAGGTGGTGGGTATTTTTTTAAAATTTTCTTCTTTTTCTCCCATAGCAGACCTGAAATAAAACCTATGTTTTTTTTATACAGACTGTTGGGAGAGAAATCCTGCTCCATCTGATAGACTTCCTGGTGACCAGCTATAGGCGTGACCCAGTTATTACCCGGTTACTCAATAATACTCGGATTCATATCATGCCAACGATGAATCCGGATGGATTTGAAGCTACAAAAGTACCTGATTGTTATTACTCACGAGGAAGGTAAGGCTTAGCAGGGTGGTAAGGTTTAGGAGGGTGGGAGAGGTAAAGGAAATGGGTGGGGAGTAATAATCACAGATAGCCAAGAGACTGAATCATACGTGGTTGAGAGGATAATCTAGAAGGATGTGTTAGGTCTAATTTTTGCCTGTGCCATTCTGAAGACACGCTTATGGCATAGAGTTTTTGGATGACTGAGTCAGACTGGTGTTTATGTGTGGTGCAGCCAGAGAAAATTGGTCAGAATGGTGTAATGACCTCACCTTTTAGGCAGGAGACCCAGAATGTGAAGAGAAGCACAATTACCTATTTTGTAGCACCTTTAAGTTGTTAGAAAAAAAAAAAAGGAAAACTCCACCCACAGAGAGCTATTTGAATCAGAAAACTCTGTAACCCTTCTTAACAAGTAAAAGGTGTGTCTACGCTTGTTGAATGGATTTCTAGCAACGTGTTTAAAGATCAGTTGAATGCAGATTTAGTAAGAGGGAGGAGGTACTCAAGCAGAGCTCTCTGGCTGTAACAGGTTCTGCGCTAATAGTGGTGCAAGGAAAAGAACTTAGAAGAAAATATAACTTGGCATTGCATGCTGTGCTACTTTTGCATCCTGTTATGTAACTATTGTAGAGATCAAAAAGGGGATGAAAAGCTTAACAAGCTAGAAGAGGGAAGGGGACAGTGAGAGAATGGGAAGGAATGCCAAAGGGACAAAATCAGAATGTGCAGAAAAAGCAAACTCATAAGCTAGAAGTTCTCTTGGATCACTGGCTGTAGCAATATCAGAAGCAAGGGAAAAGGTAGTTTAGGTAGATTTTTTTATTTTATTTTTCTTTAGGTAGCCAGTGTAGGCTATCCTTTTCATTGGGAAAGAAATTCATTCCTCAGCAAATAGATGTGACTTGTATGGAAGGGGGTATTTTTTATTCCCTATTAAATAGAGTTTAACTGAGTTTAAAAATTAACACAGTTCACGGTAAATACGTCTTTACTCTTGTACTGACTGGTCTGATTGAAGAAGCAAGAAAGTATTTGCACAGGCTGGACCTTAGGTTCAGGAAGAAGAGAATACATCCTGCATTTGACTCAAGTTCCTTCTCTCTGTCCAGAGTGACAGCAGTACAAGGGACACAGCCATCTGGTAGTTACCTTGATCTTCTGTACCAGTGGGAAAAAGTCCTCATCATCTGCCTTTGGTTTTTCTAATTCATGTATGTGTAGACATGTGCATGCTATATGCATGTTAAATATTCACTGTTTCTACTTGAAACACAATAGAAGAATTGTTTTATTGTGTCCTATGAAAATTACAGTGCTGCCAGAAAGTCCATCATCTTAATGCTTGAGAAGATATGCAATGGTCATCTTGCCTGTTTCCTGAAGACACTAGCATACCATGGATCTGGAGTACTGGCAGGCTGGGGATGTGGAAGTGTAATGGGAATGTCTTCTGTCTTTCTAAGGTACAATAAGAATGGAGAAGATCTGAACAGAAATTTTCCTGATGCCTTTGAAGCCAACAACGCTAGCATTCAGCCAGAGACTCGAGCAGTAATGGACTGGATAAAAAATGAAACATTTGTTCTTTCAGCAAACTTGCATGGGGGTGCCCTGGTTGCCAGTTATACCTTTGATAATGGTAACTCAGGTAAGGTAATAAAGTCTCTTCTCCACAGCTCATTTGGTTTAGGAACATTAGCTGTACCAAAGCAAAATTGGTAAGGATTCTTGCATGGTTCTTCTAACTTGTGAGCTGAGATGGGCAGAATTTGATAGGCCCCATCAAAATTCACTGCCTAATATGAATATTTGGGAGATGTGTATCCTGTGTGTAAGCCAGCACTGTATGCTTTACCAGTGGTGGGAGTTACATGGTAGCTATCTTTGTCCTGCAGTTACCGGCTCTTTGAAAGGCTATAGCAGATCTCCAGATGATGATGTCTTTATTCACCTGGCAAAAACATATTCTTTCAACCACATCAGCATGTACAAAGGGACTGGGTGTGACAACAGACAAACTTTTCCAGAAGGCATTACCAATGGGTACTCTTGGTACCAGCTGGAAGGTAAGAATGTCAGTGATATTTTTTCAGCTGCTTCAGATATGATGTTCTCGCTTTCTTCTGCCATCTTTGTTGATGAAAGGGCAGTGATTTTCTCCAGAGTTAGAGGGCTGATGAGGAGAGTAAGCCAACTCATTCACACAGATTCTCTGAGCTGGACCTGGGTGTTTGCAGGCTCTCCCAGCCAGCAATTATACAAGTGTATGGGACTGTCGCTGCTGTCTGTGCCCTTGCTTAAGGCCTGCAATAGCTGTGTAGATAACACACGTGCACAAACTGCTTGGCAGATCTTGTCCTTTCAGCAAGAAAACCAATCTTCTGTTCATGTATCATTTTAATGCTTGATCACTAAAATAAATGTTTTCATTACTGTTTATGTGTAGCCAGATAGAACATGGGTCCTGTGTACTGTAGCACTGTGATGCTTTCACAGTCTGAATTCAAATACTTAAAAGGTTCTTGGAATGGCTTTGGCAGTGCCAAACCCTATGCCAGCCTATGAATTTATCTGCCACTATTTATTGGGAATGCTTGAATGAATTTAAGTCAAAGACCCACCCTTAGCCACAATCATCATCATTCCCAAAATGCCACTGTGCTTTAGAAAACACTCAATGTGTAACTAGAGTAATGAAGTCAGTTTTCCACAGGAGGCAGTAAATACAAGTGTGGCATTGAGGAACAATTTATCTGTTTTACTTTTCTTACAGGTGTGATTGAGTACCAACATTTTAACTCTCTAATTTGTCTTCTAGTTTGAACTTAGTGTTTCTTCGCAGCTGAACACTCTTATTTCACTTTTAAGGTGGAATGCAAGATTACAACTATGTCTGGGGACAATGTTTTGAAATTACATTGGAGCTGTCATGCTGTAAATATCCTCCAGCAGACCAGCTGGAAAAGTTCTGGAGAGACAACAAAGTTGCTCTGATCGAATATATAAAACAAGTACATCTAGGTGGGTATGTGAATGGAGATGGGAGCTAGAGCTGGAGCCAGGTGAGTAGGAACTCCTCAGCAGCTTGGGTCAGTGTCACAGCTCAGAGGGAAGAAGCTCTGGCATGAACTTGGGAGCTCCTGAACAGGAAATGCTACAAGGCCAGGGATGGATAAGGGAGGAGAACCTACAGGTGTGTCATGTGAGGGGTGATGGTGCTACTACAGTGGTGCTAGGGGCTTAAAATGTGCTGGGGCAGGACCCCGGGGCAGTCTGACCATACACCCTGCTCAGGGACTCTGCTTTCCTGAGCAGCCTTGGGGCAGTCATTTATTTCAGAGGTCTCTAAATGGTTTCACTTGTCTTTGCTGCTTGGATTTTGTATTTTTGAAAGGCTTTTCTAGGTGCGAGTCTGACTTCACAGCTGGAAGAGAGCTGCTGCTTAATGAAGCAGTGGTGCTTTACAATGAGTTGAAGGGGTTGCACAAGTCTGTTGCTTATCTTACATTTTGTTATCCAAAATATTTTAGTGCTGTTTTATCTTTGCTTAATGCCAGTGCTGCCTTGAAGATGGTGTGTGGGAATTAAGGGAAATGACTTCATAAGCAGATATTGTTGGTATTCTGCCTTTGGGAAGTACTAGACTGACTTATTTAAAATTACAAAAAATAAGGGTGTCTGTGTGTGCAAAAAACCACCAAATCAGTACTGAAGATTGAAGCTCTTCAGTAAAAGACATGTACAATAAGTGTATATGGTACCTTCAGTACATGAGATTTAGAAGAGATTACAGTGCTGCTTTCTAACTTAATGTGAGGGTAAACTATTAACAACAGCAACAACAACCAAGAATTTTCTGTTTTAATTCCCTTCAGTAAGACCAAAGTGACTAATGATATTATTATATGTGCTCAAACTCAGTAAAAGCCTTTGAGTGATCCAGCAACAGAATGGTCTGACTTTCTCAGAGAAGGAGATTCACCATAGTTGCAGGTCATGATCTTTCTCTCCACTCCTTTTTTCATAGGTGTTAAGGGTCAAGTTACTGATAGGAATGGGAATCCTATTCCCAATGCCATCGTGGAAGCCGAAGGAAGGCAGCATGTTTGCCCCTACAGAACAAATGAACAAGGAGAGTACTTTCTTCTCCTTTTGCCTGGGACATATGTGATCAATGTAAGTGTGTGGCCTTACTAAATGGTTGTTTCTCATTGCACTGAGTTCTTGAGCACAGTCAGACAGCATTCTTACAGGTGGGTGAGCTGAGCTGCTCAAGTCATATATAGGAGTTGTAAAGACTCTTTAGCAGATTTAGAAGAAAATAATATCTTTAAACATGAGTCAGCAGAAAGTAAATTTTTTGATACAATAAGATCTCGAGTCCTCAGTGGCTAGAGATAAGCATTTGTCTGACCTTGATGGTGGAGCCAGCTGAGCATCTGGAGCCCAGTGGCACTAGCTTGAGGTGTTTGAAACAAAGCACAGGTGAGGAGGGTGAGGGTGAGGAGGTCTTGCAGGGTGAGGAGGTGAAGCTTGGGATCCAGGCAGCACTGGGCAGCACCAGGCTGACACCACCACCACCAGTGACAGTTATTTCCTTGTGTAAAAACAGTTTCTCTGTGGAGGTATTAGAGAACATCCATGCACAGTAGGCTCTGCCTGCTGCCAGCCAAGGGCTTACGCTTAAGTAATTCCCTCTCTTGTACAGCAGTAGTCTTGTTGCTGTAATGTGACTGCTCTTTTCTCATTCCATGTTCTCAAACATATATTTAGGACATTTTTCCCTGCACATCTAAAGTGTGAACAAGCATTTTAGACAATTATTGTTTCACAGCTGAACTCAGAGTTTCAAACCAAGTAAGAACATTTTCCTATTTGTTCCTAGGCTACTGTACCAGGATATAAACCAATGCTGAAGACAGTGGAAATACCTGACAACACTGGTAACTTCAGTGCTTTGAAACAGGACTTCTCTTTCTCAGAAGTCTCTATTAGATCAAAAGTTGCTTCATGTCCCAAAACTCCCCTCTACCAGCATCTTGCATGGGCTTCAGCTGCAGTAAAACCAACCCTACATGTCTTGGGTTTAATGACCATTATGCTTGTAATCTTCAAATAAAGTCCAGAATGACACGTCGTGGCAAAGCAAAATCTTCCTGCACCAATGTGACTTTTCAGACAAGGAATTGTATATCCCAAAGAATATATGTTTTTATAAACCAAATTCTCAGATTCACAGTCATGTTTACTGTATTTTGTAAAATACTGGCTTGACAATCAGTTGTTTTACTTTAATTATAACAAACCATCCTGTTTTTAATTGTAATAGACTATCATATTTTTCTACATATTTTACTCTGAAGAAATTTTGTAGAGCCTATGGAGGTAACTGTAGAATTTTGATGCAGAAATTACAAATACATTCTGAAGACTTTGCCTGAATTGAAAAAAACAAGTGAGGATTGTACTGCAAATGTTTCACATAAGCTCAGGTTCCTCACTGAACCTACAGCTAAGGTGCCACATAGCTGTGAGTGCTCAGCTCCGTCCTATTTTCTTGCAATAAAGCCTAAAAATGCTATAAATGAAGAATTGCATTTTCACATATGCTCTTTCATACCTGAACAGATGAGAGTGCTCAGGGCTCAGATGAGATAAAAAGAAGATGAAAATGAAGTGTAAGTATGTGCCGAAGGAAGCTGGGTGATAATCTGCACCATTTGGGACAAGGGAGGAATTTAGGTCTCTGAAAATGGTGTTCCCCTCTGGTAGAGCTGCTGAAAACATGTGCAGGATGTCCAGGAGTGTAACAATGTGCTGGTATGTACAGCTGAGGAAACACTCACAGCTCCTGTGTGCTGTCTATAGTTGAAAGGCTGCGAGGAGAATGGGTAATGTAGAATCTGCCTCTGTCCTGGCACATATTTCTGTGCGAGATGTCGATGTAAAGTTTGGAATCTGCGAGACTGAAGCTGTCTGTACTGAGTGATGTGTGTCTAGAGAAGGAAATAGCCCATGAGTGTCTGCAATATAGAGCACCAAGAGGACTCTCAGTTTGGTCCCTCTTGCTTGCAGTATCATCCCTCTTGCTGCTAGCATAGTCCTAGTCACTCCCACTCACGTCCCCATATGAGTCCAGTAGGCTCCCAGTTTCCCCCAGCATGGCCCCAGTTGCTTCTAGCTGCTCCCAGTGTAGACCCAGTCACTCCCAGTTAGCCACAGCATAGTCCCAGTCCCCCCAGCATGGTTCCAGTAGCTTCCAGTATGATCTCAGTGTGTATGCAGTTGGCTCCCAGCATGGTCCTGGGGGCTCCCACTCACCTCTGTTATGATCCCAGTCACCTCCAGGATGATTCCAGTTGCTCTCAGCCACTCCCAATAGGAAGCCAGTTCCCCTCAGCATAGGCCCAGTTGCTCCCAGTCACACCCAGAATGCTCCCAGTAATGCCCAGTTGCTCCCGGTGGGATTCCACTTCCTCACAGTCACTCCCAGTCACCCTCAGTGTGGTCCCAGTATGATCCCGATATGATTCCAGTCACCTCCAGCAGGAGCCCAGTGTATCCCAGTTATCCCCAGCCTGTTCCTAGTCATTCCCAGTAGGATCCCAGTATGATCCTAGTCACCCTCTGAGTGGTCCCAGTTGCAACTAGTGATATCCTGGGAGCTGCTGGGGCCATGCTGCAGGCAACTGGGATCATACTAGGAGCAACTGGACCACACTGAGAATGACTGGGTTCTTCCTGGGAATGACTAGAAACGTGCTGGGAGCACCTGGGCTATACTGGGAGCCACTGGGGTCCTGTTGGAGGTGACTGGGATCCTATTAGGATCATTCTGGGAGCACACTGGGGGTGACTGGGAGTGATTGTGAGAAAGTGGGATCCTGCTGGAAGCGATTTGGCATGACTGGGAGCGTTCTGGTAACACACTGAGGGTGACTGGGGGTGGCTGTGAGCAAGAGGGATGTTGCTGGAAGCATCTTGGAGCAACTGTCAGTGACTGGGAGCATGCTGGCAGCTCCTTGGCACAGTCTGCATGTGACTGGGAGTGGCTGTGAGCAAATGAAATCCTGGTGTGTGAACTGGAAGTCACCATGAGTCACTGGGCCTAAGCTGGTGGCAAGTGGAATCTTCTGGGCAGTATCTGGAATAATTCTGGGTTCATCAGTGGTTCATACTGGTGGTGAGGGGGGTTGTATTGGGAGCAGCAAGGAACACCCTAAGAGTGACTGGGAACAGCTCAACTCTTTCTGGAAGTGACTGACAGTGTTTGTATTCTGGGGTCAGTGGTTGTTACTGGTCTTGGAAGTTAAGTCTGTATCACCAGTGGATGGTGAGTAGCTAGACTGAGGGGTAATACAGCAGCTGATTTTGTCCTGACACATTTTTCTGTGCCAGTGGCATATTAAAGTAGCCTGTGAGAGTTAATGTGCAACTAGGTGCTTCTAGCTGAGGATTGCTCAGAGCACTGTTGTCTGTGTGCAGTTTACAGGCTGCCACGGGAAGGTGAATGTCAACTGAGGTCAATCATTGGAACCTGTGGAGGGCACCTGGGGTACAGCCATAGAGTTGGATGAATTGGCTCCTTCTAGGTGTTACTGGGACTGATTGGATTCATCACTGGAGGCGACTTTATGTAGTGGAAAGACTGTGAAGAGAAGGAGCAATACAGAAACTGCCTCTGTCCTGCACTTATTTCTGTGTGAGAGGTAGACAGACACTTTGGACTCTGTGAGACTGTGTCTGTTCTGAGTGTATACACACTTTCAGTATAGCCTGAAATCTGTGTATGAGGGAGGAGGAAATTGCTGATCACCATGGTTTGTCTGCAGGATACAGGCTGACAGGGAAGGTGAAAGCTAGCAGCGGGTTGTTTTTACAGGACCTTTTGTATGGGAGCTGCAGCTGAAGGATTTAATTTACGAAGCAATAGTCTGCAAGAGTCAAAAAGTAAGCTGGTTCTAATAGGTGTGAAGGAAAGTACATACCCACAGTGGGTGGCAACTAGCTTAAAAGCTGCAAGAAGGCGTAATCCAGCAACTCTTTTGTCCTAGCACTTTTTTCTCTGCCAGAGGTGCAGGTGTCTCTGTGAGATGAAAAGTGCAACATGGTATGTGGAGCTGAGAAGGAATGTTCTGAGCATCGCATTGCACATGCAGCTTACAGGCTGCAAGGGGAAATAGAATGCCAGTGCTAGGCCTTTTTTTTTTTTTTTTTTAAGACCTTTTTGTTGGAGCAGCTGCTGGATGTTTTAAGATTTGAACCTGTGATCTGCAGGAGTGTAACGACGTGCTTATATATATATCTGACAAGGAATGTTCAGAGTCCCAGTGTGTTGTGTGTAGTTGTCCTAGCACATTTTTCTCTGTGAGAGGTGTATATGTCTCTGTGAGGCTTAAAGTGCAGTCTGGTACACAGTGCACCACAGCGCATGTGCACTTTACATGCTGCAAAGGGAAAGA